CCCCATAGTTACCTCTTCCCCGTGTCCTTACCTCCATGCACTCCTGCCCCCTGAGCTATGTCCCTTGCATGCACAGCCCTTCTATTCTCCCATGATTGTTCTCTCTGAGGAGTGTATCTACCTAGTGTAAATGTTCACTTCATATGCCTGTCTTTTGCTTGGTTGGAAGGCGCAGGAATGGGTTCAATTCCAGACCCGAAGGGCAGCTAGGGGCCATAGTGTCTGTGGTTCCACCAGGCCCTATCAGACCAGCAAACCTGGTCCCCCTCCTTTTGTTTTTCAAATGATTCTGAGTTTTGTTCTACATTGTTCTCCCACTCTATCCAGGATCTCCTACCTAGAGCCCCTTTTGAGTAGTTGACAGTGGTAGCCAGGCACCATCAAGTTCTTCTGGTCTCATAGACGTATAGGCTGAGGATCACATAGTTGCTTGGACTAATTGTTTCCATGAATCTTTGGTTTTATTCATTTTTCTTTGCTCTGGATGAGGAGAGACCCATTGTTGTATCTAGATGGCTGCTTGCAAGCTTTTAAGATCCCAGTTGCTACTCGCCAAAGTAGGAGGTAGAACAATGTTTTGTGTAGTATGTTATGCCAATTGAGCATGATGTCGTCCCCTGTGACTGTGGTCCCGAGCCCACAGGTTCAACTACTTGCTCCCTCTGGGTAACTGGCTGTGCCTAAGAAGTGACTGCAACCTAGTCCTTTGTCAGCTCTACTATATACCTGGGAATTCTTACAGAACATACAAATATACTTGTAGAAACATTGTCTGCCAACAGACGGCAAAATAGTTTTATGGGTTCATCTACCCTCCATGGCTCCAGAAAATCTAGCATCCATGAGAATTTAGAATTCTGTTCTTCATTTCTCCCCCTTTTGATCAGGATATGTCTGTGGAATCTTAGATCAAAATGTTCAGTAGTGGTAGGGTATCCGGTTCTGGTCTCATGGCAAAGGAGGCAGTTGTTTATGGAGACAATTAGCCACACATTCCATATCCTGCCCCAGTTCCTGCCCCTCCTTCTTCCTCTGTTGTTCCAGGTGAATAGAGATCAATTGTGCCTTGGGTGGGCTCCACAGGGTTTAAATGACTAATTTTTAATTTTGTTTTTTAACAGATTGGCAAGTTTTCTTTCAGGCCCCTCTGGGTGGACTCGAACGTCCAACCTTTTGGCTAGCAGCCAAGTACATTAACTGTTGGCACCACCCAGGGCCACCCGTCAAATGCTTATGCACAGCAAAATGTAGGTAGGGAAGGTGGTCATTCTTCCAAGTGAAGACAAGTCA